TCAGGAGTGAAATGGAATCTCCGGGTGGTTTTAGTTTGCATTTCTCTAATGACCAATGATGATGAACATTTTTCATGTATTTATTTGTCATTTGTATTTCTTCATCTGAGAAGTGTGTATTTATCTCAGATGCCCATTTTTGGACTGGGTCTTTGAATTTTGGGGGTCTGATTTTTTTTTAATTCTTTATATGTTTTAGACAGAAGTCCCTTGTCTGAGGGAGAAGTCACTAAGATTGTTTTCCCAGTTTGTGGGTTTTCTTTTCATTATGCTGGATATTTCTTTTGACATGCAGAAACTTTTTTTTTGTCTTTTTCGTTTTTATCGGTACCAGAGATCGAACTCACGACTGCCTGCTTGCAAGGCAGGCATTATGCCACTGAGCTAAATCCCCAGCCCCCCAGAAACTTTTTAATAAGAGTAGATCCCAGTTATTGATTCTGGGAAGTATTTCCCATGCGGTTTGAGTCCTGTTCATGAATTCTCTACCTACCCCTATGTCTTCAAGGTTTTTACAGAATTTGTCTTCCAATAGATTGTGTTTCTGATCTTTGATCCATTTAGATTTTAATTTAGTACATGGTAACAGGCATGGGTCTAGTTTTAGCTTTCAGTAAATAGAGAGCCAGTTTTTCCAGCACCATTTATTAAGGACACTGTCGTTCTCCCAGTGAACCTGCTTGGCTTCTTTATCAAAGATAAGGTGATTGAGTGTGTTTGTAGTTGTGGTTGTATCTTCTAATCTATCCCATTGATCTTCGGCTCTGTTTTGATTCCAATACCATGTTGATTTTACTACTGTTGCTTTGTAGTATAACTTCAAGTCAGGGATTGTGACGCCTCCTGCTTTGCCTTTGTTGCTTAGAACTGTCCTTGCTATTCTAGGTCTCTTCTCACTCCAGGTGAATTTTAGGAGTGATTTCTCTAGATCTATGAGTTACGTTGATGGTATTTTTAATTGGGATTGTATAAGAGTTTTGGGAAAATGGCCATTTTCACAATGTTTGTTCTTCCTATCCATGAGTAAGGAATGTTTTTCAATTTTCTGAGATCGTCTTCAATTTCTTTTTTCAGTGTATTATAATTTTCCTTGTATAGGTCTTTCACTTCTTTTGTAAGAGTAATTCCTAAATATTTCTTTTTTTTTTTTGCTTGCTAATGTGAAGAGTGTGGTTTCTCTTATTTCTTTCTCTGTGACTTTGTTGTTAGTGTGTAGGAATGCTATTGATTTTTGAGTATTGATTTTGTATCCAGCTACATTACTGAATTTATTTATTATATCTAAGAGTCTTTCAATGGAGTTTAGGAGGTCTTCTATGTAGAGTGTCGTGTCATCTGCAAACAATGATAATTTAACTTCTTTTCCTATCTTTACCCTTTTTATTTCTCTCTCTTGTCTAATTGCTCTGGATAGTATTTCCAGTACTATATTAAATAGGAGTGGTGATAAAGGATATTCTTGTCTTGTGCCTGATTTTAAAGTAAAGGCCTTCAATTTTTGGCCATTTAGTATGATACTGGCTATTGGTTTGCCGCAGATGGCCTTTATTATATTGAGGTAAAGACCAGCTATTCCAATTTCCTGTAAAGTTCTTATCATAAATGAATGTTGGACCTTGTTGAAAGCTTTTTCTGCATCTATAGAAATGATCATGTGATTCTTACTTTTGGCTTTATTGATATGGTGGATTACATTTATTGATTTATGTATGTTGAACCATCCCTGCATGTCTGGGATAAATCCCTTAAGGCTTGCACTTAGAGGCAGACAGCCGCACTGCATGGCCACGCTGCCCACTGGGTGCCCTCTCCTGCTCCGTGTTGCCGAATGACACAATGAGGACATGTCTGGCCCTGATCCTCACACCCACAGGCCGCAGTGAGCACACCACACCCCTGGACAGCTGCTCAGGATGCCTGGCTCCGCCCTCCAGCTCCTCCAGCTGCTCCCTCCTGCCAGAATACACCAGGCACCAGGGGGCCCAACGCTCCCTCCAAGCCCAGGAGTGGCCATCGCCAATCCACACACCAGCCCTGTGTTGCACATCCTAACAAACTCAGCTGGGTTTGGTGTGGTCAGTCTCCCTGTGTCGGCGATAGGGCCCTTGGGGACAGTCCAGCTCCCTCTCACTCCAGCCTTACCCCTTGATACTGCTGGATCTTCTGTTCCTTTGCTCTTTTATTTTTATGTTGTTATGTTGTTATTTCCACTTTTATCTCAATCTCCCCTTTATTCATTAAAAAAATTATTTATTTATTTATTTATTTATTTTTAATTAAGAGGAAAAAATCAAAAAAATTAGCAGGATATATTATAGTAACTTTTTTGATTTTCTATTAACTTGATTTGAAGTCCTGTATTACTCTTACTATCTTGTTTTGACTGAGTAGACTCTGTTCCATTCTGATAGTATCAAGTTTGAGGGTATAGGCAACTACTTTGAAGGCAATAAGATTCACTATGATGCTCATTCTGGTTTGACTATTATCTTCTTTTGAAGTCGTGTAATGTTTCCAATCTTTAGGTTTTATTGGTTTTGTTCTGTACTGTTTTATTCAACTTTATTATACCTAATGATATAGGCAATTCTTTTTAAGGAAGTAAGAGGCATTATGGTAACCATTGTTGATTACCTTGTATTCTGTTTTTACATCATGTGCTATGTCTATCCTTTGTTTTGACTGACTGCTTTGTTTTGTCATATTTGGTTTTATTCTCTTCCAAAAAAAGTAATAAGAACTATGGGAATAATAAAACCCAAAGTGTGTAAATTTTGTTGTAAAAAAGAGAGGGAAAAAAGTGCTCTAAAGGATACAACTGCAAGTGTGTTTAGGTGTGCTAGGATAGATGAGCATATTATTGAGTTTTTGTTGGATCATTGAACACAGCTGTTTGCAGTCTCACTGTTTGAATGTCCACTTTGTATGCTTTGATCCTGTGACTTGAGCAACTATTTCTAAGATGACAATGTGTAATCTATTAACTGGTGATTTCTTACTGGTTTTTTTTTTTTTTGTAGTTCTGTATTACTTATACCCTTACACTGTTTTGTTTTGTTTTTTTCTTTTTTCCTTTTAAATAAAGTTTAAAAAAAAACTTTTATTTTTATGAGTCCACACTTGCAGTGCATCATGCTTGTGTTCACTGTGGGGTCGTCCAGGCACAGTACACATCCAGACTTTCCACACCACCCCCTTTCTCATGCCTGCATCTCTTGGTCCCTTTTCACCAGGAAAAGCTCTGCCTCTCAGTTTCCTGTGCCTCCTGCTGCCTGAATCCTCTCCAGTAAAGGAGCATCCTAAATCCTAATGAGATGTCCTCAAAGAAGTCCTCAAACAGATCTGTGTGTGTGTTCCTTTTAATAACGAGATTTTTGAAAGACATTTTAAACCAATTTTTATAACACATACTATTCTGTCATTTAAAAAGTATTTGACACCTACTATCACTTCATGATGAGCAAAAGGCAAAAAAACTGCCCAACATCCTTTGAACAAAACGTGCCTCTGAGAGCCATGCTAGGAACAGAACCCGCAGCCACCGTGGTCTACAGAGGTCAGGAAACGGCAGTCGGGTTTGGCTGTGTGCGCACACTTTGCTTTATCAAATCTACTTCTAAAACACTAGCATAAGAAAGTTACAATAAGTAATGAAATGAAGTCAGAAGGCTTCTATTTAAAGAAACCCAATGTGAGTTATTTTTCAAATCATATAATCACTGATTTGTTTTGTTTAATATGTACTGTTGCAAATACTTTGGACTAAATTTAGGGAGAATCTCACTGCACTCTCTGGCATTAATTTTTAAGACAGATGAACATGGAAATTATTTCCAGAATGTAAAACCAACAATTTAAATGTCTCACATTCTTTATCCTCCCAACAGGCAACCTTTGCAGCCTACAAGGACTCAACCACCAAGCTGCCACGGGACAGTGGCGACCCCTGGAGGCCGGTGTGGGGAACTGTCCGGTCTAAACGCGCTGGCCGTGAACCAGAGCCTCTCTGGTCTTTTCTGCTCCCTATTGCTTACACGCCAGGGACTTCCAGGTAAGGCGACTGCTTTCTCTCTCTCGTGGAAAATGCTTTCCTCTTCCTTGCTCCTGTGCTTTCCAAAGGATAGTGATTTTCCTTTCATTCCTACTTATGGGTGAAAATATTAAAGTGATTATTGGTTACAGCTTTATCAGAAAGGGGAAGACCTCTGAAATCAAGCAAGGTCACCCACCACCAGCCCCTCAGTCCTTCCAGAGGTCCCTTCCAAAAGTACCACAAACTGCACCTCCAGCACCGGGATCCAGCTTTTCAAAAGGCTGCTGAGCTACTGGAGACCTCCCCGGCTGATGCATCCCTGTGTCTCTTAGCTATTTCAGGGGCAGTGTTTCCTAGCATTTCAAAGCTTTAAGTGCTCACCAGAAGAGGGTAAGTTTGCTGCAAAGAAGCCGACCTGAGACCTCAGCAGCTCTGTGTAGGGAGCTCCACCAGCCGCTGCCCCCAGCTTCTGCACTTGCAGCACGCTCTGGGCTGTCACCACTGAGCAGTGACTGGGAGACCGGCTGAGTGGCTTCTCACAGCTGCACCCCCTGGGCCATCAGAAAGAGAATCAGAGGGCCCCGCACCCTCTTCTGGGTGCTCAGTGGCCCCAGAGAGCTTCAGACCTCTGGGCCCTGTCCTGAACTGCTGGTTGATATTCAAAAACCTATTTTTGTGTTTGGAGGAGCGGGGAAAACCACTAAATGACAACTTGAGAACGGCGTGTTCCTTCCAGATTCTAACATGTGTTGCAATGAAAATGTTGATAATTTACTGTGACAAGTAATCATTGGTTTCTCAAAACTAATAAATCTCTGCCACGGTGTTGTTTTCTAACTTCTTGCCATGCAGACATGTTTTTTCACTCTTGTTTAATTTATTTTGATCTCTGCTATTTTAGGTCTATTTGCAAATAACTGATCCTTCAAAGATGGTCACCATAATGCCCTTCAGTAAGATTCTGATGTTGCTCCTCAGGTTCATAAGCGTGATGATTGGGTGTTCATGATCCATGCATGACATGTGCCTCCTTTAAACCTTGTTATGACATTGGCACATTACCCATCTGACG